CCAGCTCGTATCCCGCTTGATCAAAACTTAAAGCTTTCTAAGGATCAAGGAGAGCTTATCCCTGAACCAACGGTTTACAGAAGGCTAATTAGAAGGTTGCTGTGTTTAACCATAACAAGGCCTGATTTGGCATACTCAGTCCAGCTGCTAAGCCTGTTCATGGTTAGTCCAAGGTTGCCTCATCTTAATGCGGCACATAAGGTTTTAAGGTTTGTTAAACGAGCTCCAGGGCAAGGCATATTATACCCAGCATGAAGAATAGCTAGGTTCAAACTCACGCAACCTTCTGGATGGTAGCAAATACGGTCGACACTCCTAGGAAGGAGTGCCTCGATCGAACTAGGGATACAATACTCATTTCCCCACTTTTCCTATTTTTTCCTCAATAGGTGTGGACTTTATCTTCGCACACTCCCTATCATCCTTCCCAAATGGTTCGACCTCATCCTCGCTCATACTCTCATCCCTTAGCGCTACTACCTGGCTAAGTTTGTATACTATTGGAGGGAAAGAGGTACTTGCAAGGTTGACCATAACTAAAGGAACATGGTTAAAAATTCTCTAACCTCAAAGTTAGAAGACGTGGCAAGAAAAGAACTTATAGTCTCTTCTTAGTTATTCCCCAAGAATGGAACCTAGATTTATCAGAACTAATTACTTGGATAGAAGGTGCAAAGGAAAAGACAAAGGCAGAATATAGGAAGAAGGAGTAGCTCGAAAATGTCGGCTAGGAGCAATGTAAGTAAGATTGATTGCGAGGGAATAGAAGAAACCCTAAGGAGAAGAATGGAGAAAAGGTAAAGTAGCTTTGCCTTCTTTGATGGAAAAGAAAAGTGGAATATAAAAAGGACCTCCCCTCAACCATTGCATAAACAAAGGACGAGAAAGACCAAGAGTCCCAATTTAAAACCACGAATAGCTCCCCCATTAAGCCATCATTCGATTTTAAAGAAACTACCCATAAATGTTTGCCATGTGTCAAAAAACTGTTTGCTCCGTGATCCTAATTATTATCATATTTTTAACCAATCGCATTCAAATTTATTTTTCCATAAGATCTTAGCTATTCTGATTCAGAAGTAATGAACATTTGAAATTAATGTCTGATCCTAAACAATATAAAAGAGGCAGTTTGAAATGTACTGTTCGTGCCAGATGTCGTAAAAATGGATCGAATAAAAAAGACAATTTGAAATGCACTGTACATGCCAGATGTCGTAAAAATGGATCGTCAACCATAACGATGCCGTATTTCCCAATTATATTTTCTTCTTCTTGCTTTCCCTTTCATTTCCTACTCGAAGCACTCTTTGCAAATTTACAACCTACTTACATTTCCTACTTTGTCGGCTTCAAAAACCTGTGTTTCACTTTTACAATCGTAAAAATCGTTGCTTGGCTATGTTTTACTGTCTCAAAAGTAGGAGTGTCAAAGCAACTCTCAAGGTTTATCTATTTTCTTTCTTTCAGTTTGAGGGTTGGGTGTACGATGCTTTCAGTGTTATGTTTTTTTTCCATATTCCCTCATAAATTACTATTAATATACTTCAAATTAAGCCGAAGAAAATGAAATAGAGAAGTGTTCTAGAACCTAATCTTCCTTAACTTCTCTTTTCTTCAGATCAATCACAAAAGACTTCTCGTTAAATCCAGTTTTCTGTCAATTACAAAAAATACAATACATAATTACAACAATTTCATAAATATAAATACAAATAATCGAATAATTATTAGGAAAACAGGTAAGTCTTATGAATAAAAAGAAATAGCTTATGTATTGCCTGAGCACGCTCATGCATTCGCCACCGTGCTCGTTGCACGTGCATGTATGCCCCAGCGTGCCTCTGTGCACTTGCACGAAGGCACCAGTGTGCCTCTCAGTGTGCCTCCGTGCATGAGAATGGAGACACGTCGTACCTCCATCCACATGCACGGAGGCACGCTCCGTACGGGCACCAGCGTGCGTGCCTCCGTGCACGCGGACGGAAGCAAGCTGTGGCTCCATACGCGTGCACAGAGTTAAGCTGCGTACCTTTTTATTCACACAACCATCGGCCATTTTTACACCTTTCCTCATTTTCTTCTCTAAATTTCCCCTTCTCCTTCGATCTTTTCAAGGTAGAAAAAATCCATTTTCCATTCTATTTTTCCCCTTACCTCTTCAAATTACAACAAACGGGAAGAAGGTATTTCTCTTGCATTTTTTGAGTGTTGCATTTTTGGGGGGTTTTTGTTACTTTTTATTGCATCTATTTATTTGCGATTTCGTCATGGTGTTCTTCATATCTGGGTTCTCAGCATTTTCGTTTTGATTTTTTTTTCTTGCAGTTCATGTGGGTTTTAATTAAGTGTTTTATTATTTGATCTATGGGCTTGCTTTATTTAATAACAAACTTTTCTGTTGTATTTGAGAGTTCATGAAACCTTCTTGTTTAAACTAAAAAAATTAAATAATACCGTGTTGGAAGTTTATGCTCGGGTAACCTAGAAGTTTTATATAGAAATTCTTTATCCTCACCACCTCCCAACACACACTTAAGGATTTGTGTTATTTTCCAAAAGTTTATTTTGATTTTGAAGGTAACTTCATATTCAACTAATAATTTTGTTAATATATTTTGAAGAAAAATGGGTTCTAACATCTTTTCCAGTTTCAGTTGATAGGGGTATTTTAATTTTATAGAAGTAATTGAAAGGTTGGATCTTTTTGTTGCTAAAAGTCTTGAAATGAAAAACTACAGAGTTGATTACAGTTTCAAACTATTATTTTGCAGTCTTTTCACTCCTTATTATGTTATTTTGGTATGTAGTTTCAAACTATGCAATTGTTTCATTCACCAAAAACAAATATTTAATAGGGCAGTGAAGAGAGATAAAATGAAGGTGCAGGTGTATGAAAAGTGAAGGATTTAGTTTCTTCATAATCTGCGAAGATAGAAACTTCGGAAGTCAAAGGAAACATGGGGATTAATTTAGTTTTAAAACTCATGTTTTGTGCTTATTTTAATTGTTTCAGTTATCTTCTAAATCAGATAAATTATCAAGTATAGAGACGCTGGCAATTTGCTTTCTCCCTCGTAGAAGAAATAAATTAGGTGGTATACTATATTTATCCAGTCAATGGCTAGAGAAATTGCAAGTTAGTGAGAGTTAAAGATCACCTCTTTCGTTTTGATTATTTAATTAAGCTTAGGTTTGGCATCTATTTATTTCCTAGGATTTCATCAAATAGTGGAAGTGTGGTTTTTCAGATTGGTTCTTGAATTTCAATGGTTGCTCGTGTATTTTGTGGTATTTTGTAGTATTCAGCTTAGGTTGGGGGTTTATTAGGAATGGATGCTGCTGATATTGGAAGTTTTGAGCTAGAAAAAAGTCGTCGAGTGATTTATGCTAAATCAAAATTTCGAATGCACAACGAAGAGAATTATATACCCAGGCACGAGAATTGTGTAACATTCGTCGACAACAACTGTAGAGATATAAAATATTGATCGTATCATTTAAATAGCAGCGGGGGTGTGAAAGTAGTTCAACTTCTGATTTTCTGGCTTCTGAAATTACTAGGAATGATGACAACATTACTTCTAAGGATTCTTCTTCACCCCCTTCAATGGGTTGGTTAATGCAGAAGAACGAGAAGCCACATCGTGTCAGGTGTGACGTTTTTGAAGAAGTTTAGAAACCCCATTTGGATAGCAAAAAATTAGAGAAGCGAGGGTCATCTATGCCAGGTACTAATTATTCATATATTTTTCTTTTGTTATTTATATTAGTAATGTGTTTGCTTGTGTCTTATATGATCATATATTTCTATTGGATTAATATAATTCCTTGAATTTTCATACTGTGTACAAGTTGAGATTATGAAAGAAAGATTTTCAAAATTACTCCTTCGCTCATATACATCTGGTTGTGGAAATGGGGTATGTACTACTGTGACTATATCAATGCTATTACTAATCTTTGTGGTATATTACTTAAAACACTAAATTAATATTGATTAATTGATTGTACTATTTATTAACTTAGTTGATTAAGGGGAAAACAAATCTAATGTGGAATTTTTTTTCCTTAGAGTTGAAGGAAGTTACTTCATATTTTTTAAGGGTAAATAAATGTCATGTGATGAGTTATTCAATTGGTGTTTGTTATATGGATTAGATTGGATACACTTTATGTTTATGTTATTGCTTCCTCCCTACCCCCTTCTCGTCTTCTAAAATGGATGAACCTTATAACACTACAGAAAAACTTTCTCAAAGTTGAGCTATATTTGGGAGGTTTGGTAGTCACTTGTATATAGACTTTTAGGTACTGTTCGGCTGAAGTAATGTAACTGGGAAACCCTTTTCATATTCTTTTCAGTCAGCTGATGTGAGCTCTTTAGTTGATCAGTATGTCTACTCCTATTTCAGCTATTATAGGTGCTTCTCCCTAACCAGTCTTTCTACCCAAGCATGTCTTGCAAGAACTCAGGACTCATTTTGGAATGTTAGTTGGTCAATGTTCTCGGATTTGGTACAAATGATCAGGAGGAAATTATCGAAATAGAAATGATTTTCAAGTTTTCTTCATTTCTATTTCTACCTTGATTGTGCAAGGTTTAAGAACTTGTGTACAATATGTCATTCTTTGGTATGACTTATTTGCATCATAATCAGTTGTCATGATATATATAGAATACCGGTAGTCCATGTACCTTTTTGACGGGATACTCTTCAAACTCATCCGCACATTTCACTATTTCCAAAGGATTTCATATTACACGTGTTTTCAAGTAACCGGGTATTAGTTTCATGTGAACTTCGGATACTTATATATTTATTGGTTCTGAAAGATTCTTTGAGAAGTTTTTATTTGATGTAGTTTGTTATTGTAAGCTCAATGAATTATAGAGTTGGGACCGGGTACTTCTCTAGCAATTTACAGTTATGGTACAATTCGACAGCAATTTAATAGCATGTTATGATCATTATCTGTTTGTTGAGTCAAATAAAATGCTATACATTTGGGTAGTCAAAAACACGTTGCTTTTGATGATGGACTCTGGGTGTTTGTTTATCACGCTGTTTATGAGCATTATCCTCGTCCAAACCAACTGATTGTGGAGAATGATTTGCCTCAGAAGCTTCAAAATTTGATCGAGGAGCGAAGAGATGGGCAGAGTTCTGGTGGCCAAGTTCTGGTAAAACAAATGATGCCTCCATCCACTTGATGCCTAGGCATGGTGCCTCCATCCAAGTAATGGAGGCATGGTTTGCCTCCATCCAAGTGGATGGAGGCACGGCGATGTCTCCGTCCATGCACTTGGATGGAGGCATGAGATGCCTCCGTCCAAGTGGATGGAAGCACCATGAATGGAGGCATGGTCGATGTCTCCGTCCATGCACTTGGAGGGAGGCATCTCATGCCTCCGTCCAAGTAACGGAGGCATAATGGAGGCATGGTTTGCCTCCATCCACTTGGATGGAGGCACGGCGATGTCTCCGGAGGTGTCCCGCCCGCACAAGCGATTTTTTTTTTTTTTACTAACAACATTTTTCTATTTTGTGTTGATGTAGTTCATTTCGTGACTATATCTTTGAAACTATGCTATGAAATTTAGTTCATGATTAATATGTTTTGATCCTAAGAAAAAAATGAGGCAAACAGATATAAATTTTTGGTGTTGATGTTGTTGATTATTTTATTAGAATATTCACTTTGCCTTCATCTATTCAATTCTATGCTTCTGTCTGTACCAAAATACATTTATATACCTCGTTATTAATTGTCAAATTAAAATTTTTTGTACTACATTCGTTATAGTACATATCATACACTCTATTTATTATCCAACTAAACTCAAAGACGCGCATTGCACGTGCCACCGTGCACGAGAACGAAGGCACGTCATGCCTCCTTCACCGTTGCGCAAACTGCATATCTTTTTACTCTCTGCAGAAGCTAAAATTCCCACTCTCACCTCCTGCTCTCTAGAAAAGAAAGCCCCCCGATTAACCCTAATTTCTTTTATTCTTTCTTGATTGTTGAAAGAAATCCAAAACAAATTTGCAAGAATTGAGACATATATCTGTAAGTATAATTTTTATGTGTTCAATTTCTTCCTTTTATGTAGATTTCTTCCCCTTTTTTGTGTTATAGCGGAAGAACAGTAGCTTCAGATTCTGGATTTACAAGGGTAGGTGGTAGTCTAATATGTGGGTGGTGTTAATTGACGGAGGCCGCTACGAAGGGAGCTATTTATGGTAGGTGTTTTGCTGAGGGTGAAAATGGTAGTATGTTGGGCTTGGTTCGGTAGGAAACTTTTCATATTTTTATCTCAGTTGAAATAGACCCCAGTACTGTCAATCATTTTCAATCACGACCTAGTTTCGGATAACTCCAACCGTGTGTATTATTTACATTGTTCTTTTGTAATTGGCGATGAAATATATTTGCAAACTTTGATTTTATCATATCTGAGGTAGAAGCAAGCGGTGATAATACTGAGGTGTTTCCATGGCTGAAATCTTTGCCAGTAGCTCCAGAGTAGTGACTGGAGGGCTTAGGTTGTGGGAAAGCACTCCTGCGCTAAAGAGTTGTTTAGAAAACAGCTATAGGGCGGAACCTTTGGTGAAGTATATAAAAGGTATCAAATTACATATATTATATATTTTGACATGTGCACATGAGTACTGAATTGAGTAAATTTATGAACTTGAATTTCGTAAATGGTGTTATTGGGCTTTTCAAATGGTAGCTTCTTTCCTCACTAAAAAAAACGATCTATGTTCTGCGTGTGGAAGTTGTGGATTTATTTCAAGTTAGAAGCTCAAATCTTTTAAATATGGTAAGAGTTTGAAATTTTATTATTGGAGTAGTTATTAAAGATAAAAATGCTATATCTTCCAGTTAATGGTGGGTAGGTGTTTAATCGGTCTGAGGAAAGATTAATGTTGATGATTACCAACTTTTACAATTGCTAATGAAAACTATGAGTCCAATATTCACAGCATGCTGAAAATGTGAGGAAATTGATGGAGAAGAAAATGATGAGATTCGTCTCTTCTTGCTTAGTTCTAACTTATGTCCAACGCACTCTTAGTTTTTAAAGGTGAAAATTTCTCTCATGCTCTCTATGTTTTGTGTAAAGAACATTTATATCAAACTAAAATTTTTATGATGTTTCCTAATCTTTTGTGTTATTTCCCTCTTAGAAAGTATACTTATTTCGACCCATAGTACTACTCAATCGGATTTTGTTGTCAAGATGTTGAGATTAATGTATTTTTGGTATATGCAAATTATGCAATTACTTTAGAAACCACATTTAATTAACTTGGATTTGCTCTTATGCTGGGAAAATAACGAATGAAATAGTGCAAAGTAATAAACCAAGTTGCTGCTACCTTTTGCCATTTGTGGACAGAAGTAATTTTTAAGAGACAAAATTTGAATGTCATATAAATATATGTTCAAAGTAATTTTTAAGAGACAATTTGAATGTCACATTAATATATATTCAATCATCGCTTACCATTGAAACTACTGCAGATTTTCTATCAGAGTTACACGTTTGATTATAAGCAAAAACTTTGACATGTAGTAAAGTATAACCCAGATATGTTCATCTTGATGATGCAAATTTCACATTAAGAGTTAAGTAGTATCGTTCAAATATTGAATCGCTTTTATTACCCTGCTAGAATATAAAACGTATTTTTTTTTCAAATATCAAATGACATGTTTTGATGTCTGAAGGCATCTAAGTACCTAATCCCCATCATGGTTGTCCTCAACTGCATTTTGCCAGAAGTATTTCAAGGTTTTTAGTCGCATCCCCAATTCTCTCCCACAAATAAAAATATGGTAATTCATTTTTCTTTGTTCTTTTGCGTCTTCTTGTTTGTAATTTAATTTAATTTAATTGGATTTGGTTTCTTATGATTTCATGTGCAGCTGTTCATTTGGATGTTGCGTGTTTTTCTTTCATTTCCGAAGAAGCCTGTGTTTTACTCTCTGCAAAGGAAAACTTCCTAGCCCTGTGTTAGAGTTCCGAAACTACCACCAAGAAATCCCAAATCTCATGAAAGATGCTTTCTCCAAATGTGCCAATTAACTCAATAAACCGGTAGGCTTTATTACCCCCTCCCTTTCATTCTCCGTGTACGACATCCATCTCGCACGGAGACACGCCTCGTAAGCACTGTACTATCGTATTATCCTCCATATTCCCATCAGGGATTCATATGAAAATATGGAAGTTCTTTGAATAAATTTTTCACTCGCGCATTTCATCGAACAGTTGCAGGGACAACACCGACAAAAAAGTAATGAAAGATTACCTTCAATTCTTCTGTTATGAAAAACATTGCAGCTGACAATGTGAGGGCCATCAATGTTGCAAAGATCAATGTGGTGGTGAGTATGTTTTTCGTATTCTAATCAATCTGGTCTTACCTTTTTGTTTCTCGATTAGCCTGTAGCTACCTGTAGCTACATTTCTTAATTTCTGATTTTATTACTGATCAGCATTACATATAATGTTTTAATCGGACTAACCTATATAAGTTTCATGAAATGCAATCTTTGCACCAAGAGGCAATTTTTTCCACTATAATGTCTTCCACGCTCTGGATTAATGATTTACAGACTATAATGTTGCTTTTCCCTTGCATTCAGTTATGATTGATTGGTTACAGGTACGCAAAAGACCACTAAACAATAAACAAAAAGGAATTGTCGAAGACCGAGGAAGATATCATTGAAACACATTCTAACACTATTGTAGTCTATGAGACCGAACTTAAGGTCTGTGACAGTATCGTTTTGTGCTTATTTAATTTTTTTTTTTTTTTTTAAAGAAGATTGCTACCATAGGTCTCTTTGATGTCTCTTGGTTATAATTTGTGAAGTTATGCTTTACATTTTGTCAATAAGACGCCTGTACTGTTCCTTATAATAACACTGGCACCTTGATTGGTGGTCTTAATAGACTTCTTTTCAATCTCTTCAACGTTTATGTTAATGTAAAATGAGATTTTTGTTTACTAAAATTGAGAGGTTCTTGAACTTTGCTTTGTTTAACAGAGTAAGTTTTGCATAAAATAAAATAAAAACCTCTTGGAGGTTTATGCTCGGGAAACCAAACGATTATATCAAACTAAGGGAATTCTTCCCAGTCAACGAATCCTGACAAAAGGTTTTGAAATTTGCTAATATGCAGTTAATTCTTTTTCCCTTCCTTTTTAGTTGTTTTTAATAAACCCGTTTTATGAGTTTTTTTTTTAAATGAAGTAACGGTTACTTGGATACTATTGGAACCAAAGAATATTAGCAGGCGAAAAATCTGAATGAAACATAAGGGAAGATTGTTGTTGGTATTCTCTTCCTTCTTTTGTTTTTTACTGTACCTTGTAAGGTGTCTTGAATTATGAGATGATATCGGGACAAAAAAGGATGTGAGGGAGTCCATTTTTTCACTTTTGGTTTGTTTCTTCCATCTACTTAGAGATTTAAGGGGACTAACTGTTCCAATATTTGCTCTTGATTTCTTAGTTGATTTCGTGGAATTAGAGAACTTATGTTGAACATTTCTAGAGGAGTTCAACTAGAGGACTTATGCAAAATGACAATGATTCTGGTGGTCCATCAACGCCTAGAGGTTTTATTGGTCGGCTATGCCTTCGCAGACGCTCAAATGAGGTTGGTTATATTTTTTCAGGCAATTTTATGCATCGCAAAACTAAGTCATTTTATGTTCTTCTCAAGCACATAACATTGGCTAAATTGAATTTGTCTTTGCTAAGACTTGTTTGCTTCGACTAGGAATACAAAGTACTAACAATGGAAGAATCTAACCCTTGCCTCCTTTATGCTTGGAGACTTGAAATTAATTTTGTATTAGTTTATCGAAGTAGAGCCTTTTTATGTAAGCTCAATCACATTGCAACAGTCAATATACCTATATTGACGATGAACTTACAATTTTACCCTAATATTCGGCTTCTTCAACTCAACTAACAGATTGTTAATTGGATTCCTTATGAAGTTTTCTTGGTCAAGCTTTTAGTACCCTGTACATATGATGAGTACCACTACCATCAATCTTCAAGCCAAGACAATTGATGGTTCACACCACATTTCAAGGATTACGAATACAAATGGGGCAAGTGAGGAAATAGAAGATTTGGGACATGGAGAAGTAAGTTGGCTGTTTATAAAATTAAAAACCAATCCCGTGTTAGTTAATTCTCATTTTCTCTTTTACAAGTTAGAGATACCCATAAAAGGTATATTTGTAAAGTTTCTTTTGACATTTTCAAATATGTTGAATGATGACGTAGAACATGCACTTGAAAACAAGGGAATTATGATACGGGAAATTACTGTTGCCGTCTTGGGTACTTTTTGTTTATTGGGTAATGTTTTGTAGGATTCCAGCAGTTTGATTTGCATTGGCTTGTTCGACTTTGTTTGTTAAAAGTATTATTTGTTATTTTTTTGTTCGATTTGTATATAAAAGCTTAATGTATATTAAATGGTTGCTGTTCACACTTTTGGTTTTTATGGGCAGTGATTGATTATTAGTTGAGGTAATGTGTTATTTTTTCTCTTTTGATTTTCATGTTTGGCTTTTGTCTAATTTCGTGGCTAATTTTTTGCAGGATTCCAGAGCTCAATTTGTATTGGCTTGTTGAACTTTGTTGGTTAAGTATTCTTTGCTATTTTTTTTTTTGTTGGATTTGTATATTAAGCGTCGATATATATTAAATGCTTGTTGAATAGACTTTTGGTTTCTATAGGTAGTGATTGATTATCAGTTTATGATTTGTGGTTTCAATTTACTGAGGCGGGATTTAGTCTGTTTTTGTGGATTATTTTTCCTGTTTTGATTTACATAGGATGGCTTTCTTTCATCTAATTTCGTGACTTATTTTGTACATAAATATATGAAATGCTTGCTTTACACACTTATGATTTCAATGGATGGTCATTGATTATGAGTTTATATTTTGTACTTTCAATTTACTGAGGTGGGATTTAATATGATTTCGAGAGTTTTTTTTTTTTTTTTTTTTTTTTTTTTTNTTTTTTTTTTTTTTTTTTCATTTTTCGAATTTACAGAGACTGGCTTTTATTTGATTGAGAAGCTTCCATCATGGAACAATCGAAAGAATTATTGAAACGGGGTCTTTTTCGTAAGCATGAAGAAGGTCAATCCCAAGTTCTATCGGCAGCCTTAGAGGTATCTTTTCCTATTTTCTCATTCCATAAAAACCTGCATGCATATATAGTATAACGGGAGCTAATAGAACTTTGTAGGATTTTACATTGTTCATACATCATATGTGGCGCTTATTTTTTGTATCCATAGATTGCAGAGGAGGAAAGTGTTGAAACTAATTCGAGATTTCGGGCTCTGGTGGCCTGGGAAGTCTGCTTTACGTGATCGGTTCTTGGACTATGGTTACCTTGAAGTAATTTCGTTCATAGTAAAAGTGTATTTGGCTAAGCTTTAAAAAAACTTAATTCCGTTCTTGTATTTATTACTTATTTTCAACTTTAACCAATCAAAAAAACCTTGTTGGTGCTCTTGGAAAAGAAACAGCATGTTTACATTATTCCTATTGAATATTATTCTTGTAATCTCCTTCATCAATATGTTATTTTAGAAATATGTGCTCAGAGTAAGAATTTTATCTTTGTTTCTATAATTTCATTGTCTTTATAATCACATACTTGTTGGTGCTTTTGGTATTGATTTTATTTTTTAGAGTGATGACCTTTCATGGGATTTGTTTATGTTGATCTTCTGTGGAGTGACGGTGCTTTTGTGTTATGTTTGTGGTTCATTTTTCATTTTATGTATGGTAATTTCGGCAATTATGTTCTTAGAGTTTAGTCTGTTTATATAATTTCATCTTGATGATTCCATTCTCTGTATTGGGATTAAATAGAAGGATCTGTTAGATCATAAACTTGGGTTTCGAAGGATTTGTTTCTGTGAACCTTCTGTGGGTTTTTGCCGAGATGGAATTTGTGCTTTTTATATTTTCTTTATCTTAACAATAATTTTCTTTGTGCCTTAATGGTTAATTTATTTTATTACATTTAAATTTATAGTTAATGGGAAGTATTTTATTTTCTGGATTGCTGTTACTTAGTCAGTAGCTATTTTTTAAATAAAATATGTGGAGTCAATCCTTGCTTGTCTCCCATTCAGACAACATTAGTTAAAGACACCACCATATCTGTTAATGCATATGGGGTCCTGATGTGCTTGGTAAAAGAAAATCTTCTTTCAGCCTTTGACTTACAATCAATTGATGCATTATTACATTGTTCTTCTCTGACCCTGTAACTTCTCTCCTCTCTGTCTCCCCGACGATCATATGTAGTTTCAAGCGTGGATGGCTTTTTCCATGCAAATTGATGCTCATATTGGTGGTCTTAATGATATTGCCTTTGTTTCCTATCCTTTCCTACATCAATAAAAGAGTCACTTTCCCTTTACTATTCATAAGCCAAATGGCCAAGTACGCCGCCATTTTCGAGCCGAGCGGCGCTGCAAAAGGGTAAATATTTTTAACAATTTCTTCTTCGGCCTTTCTACTCTCAACTATCTTGTCTCTCCATTTTTACAATCAAACTCCCATGCTCTACCATTTCTCCCTCTCGACATTTCTCTCTATCTCACAAGCTCCTACTTTCCCTTTTCATTCTCTCCCTGCGCAGTCGACCAAAACCCGAAGCTCCCTTCTTCGCCTCTTTTTTTTTGCTTCGATTCTATTTCTCGATGGTTGAGTCAACGGATTTCTTCTAGGTTATTGCATCGATTTCTTCTTCTGTAGATATCTAAGCCAACTGAGACGCATTTGTGAGTATAGTTGTTATTGCATTGATTTCTTCTTGGTTATTGCATCGATTTCTTCTTCTTCTGTACATATTGCTTCTTTTTTTTTATATGTTTTTCGATTTATGCAGCCATTGTCTTCAATCTGCGATTTTTGTTCCCCTTTTTTCTTCCTTGAAGAGATCGAACCTAAGGTATCTAAAGTTTGTTTCTTTGATAATAGGTTTTATTAGTAGTGGAGTTTTAAATTTGTATGCATCATGATGTGGGATTTTGTAGCTAATACTCCTTCAAATATTTTTTTTCCATATATATAAATGTGATCAATAGTCAAATCTGGTGTTCATGTTATTATTTTCTAATTTATGTGGGTTCTTGTAGCCTATGTTGATGGATACAGATTTAGGTTATTCTGAAGTTGATATGTTTTTTGAAACTGATATCAATGGATGTTCACAATGATTTTCAGCATACGAACTGAAGAAGTAAGTTGGGGTGGAAATTACAGAAGAGAGACAGCTGAGTGGTAGAAAGGTATGATGCTACTGCGATAGCTGAAAAGGCTCCTGAGAGTGTTGGTGAGACGCATGAGTACCAAGGTCAGGTGGGTTCTTATATCTTCAATATGAATTTCATGATTTCTGTTGTTTTAGCAAAATTAGAAAATAATTAAAAGTTAAATATCATGTTTTCACAATTTGAAGAATGACTGTTTTAACAATAACTCAAGTTATTAATGAAGGTAAGTTGAATCGTGTTCGTTCAAGTACAATACTATTTCTCCCGAATGGACTTTAAACAACTTTATTTCTCCAGTAGGGTAAAGTATTTTTACTTTAACTCTGGCGTCTTAAAGTTGTTTGAAAAAAGAATACAGGTGGAAAGAATGCATTATGTTCTTGATATCAAGATGCAGACTAAGAAAATCCTTTTAACTGAGATCAAGTTTTGAAAGTAATAAATGTTATGAAGTCGATTAAGTTTTTTTCTTTTTCTCCCTGAAATCTAATGCAATGCAGCTGATTATTTTGTTTTTTGTTATTGTACACTTTCAGTCTTTGAAGATCCTTATCTAAAAAATAGAGTTCTCCTCTCTGAATGAGTGTACTTGGCATATGTAGTGAAAGCAATCTGCATTTATGCTATCTAACAATTTCAATGAGGCAATTTTAGTGATGCTGTTTGGGTGCATTTATCTGCCTATTGTACGTGTATAGGTTCTCTTGTGATGCCTAAGGTTGTTAAGAGTGTCCACTTCTGCCCTGCTACAGAGAAATTCACACTTCGTGAATACAGAGATATTACATCCAACATGGGCTTGCCGGGTTCAGTATATCCAACACGGGTAATAAATTATTTTGAGCTCATGAACCTTATGTAGCCGCTTATGATTGATGCCAACTCTTTTCTTGCCAATTTTAGATTTGTGAGAGAGACTGTTGCTCATAGCAGCAACATTTCTGGTGGAGGCACAGCTAAAGTTGAATGATGAATATTGTAAGCTCCTCTTTAAATATTTAAATTTGGCCACTACGAACAAATTTAAGAAGAAATGATGACGTACGATGTTTTACCATAGTGGTCATACTATGTTACAGAAAAACAAAACTTGTAAATGATGAAATCCCAATGTTTTTCATATAAAAGGTCTATCCCACAGATGAAAATTGGGCGCTTACACAAATTGCATATTTTTCGTCTTTAATTTTCATCTTCAGTTACCATCAAGCATTAAATTTGTCTTCATTTTGTATTATTCTATTCGAATACTATATACTCTATAACTATAAATTTAATGCAATTTGGATATCTAACAATCACTTCAAACTATTAAATAGTCAATTAAATTCAAACACGTCCATTGCACGTGCATCAACTATTTTTATCAAAAGGCACAAAAATCCAGACCTTGGGAGAGAACTGTTTATGAATCCGCCCATTCGTGGGTTTCTCTAAAACTAGTTAAAATGGTCCATAATGAATGCTTATCCTCCTAACAGATCAGACGAAAGAAAGAGATCAACTTGGCCAATTGTTGTCGTCATTCAAATCATCATCATTATTGATTCTGACTAGGTGCCACCATGACCTCTCCCAAGATGAAACGAAGCGAGTATTGATGTGAGCACCTCATGGGTAGCCAAATCAAAAATTATTAATGATTTAGTTATATCCTAAGCATAATTATGACCTGAAGAACCAACCTCCATAACCACTGAAAATTATCGTCTAAGAGTGGTACCACACACATCAATAAAGAGTACTGTTGATGATGCGATTAGGGTGACTCGATGTATTATCTCCAATACACTTTAAACATTAATCAATGAAATCATCCTTTAATTTTCCTAAATTCCAGCAATCACTTTACTAAATTCTATTAAGTCTAAATTTGCCATAACATTTTTAGTTATCAACGAATTTCAATCACATATTTCATAGACTTACAACTTTCAACCACATATTTTATCAATTTTTATTAAAATCTATTAAAAATTTAATTTTAATCCATACTAAATAATATCTATAGTCAGGGGCGGAGCCAGGAATTGATCGTACGGGGGGCTAAAATTTTTAAAATGTAATGTACGAATAAAATTTATATATAACTAAAAAAAATTGTAATATAACGTTACCTATTACAATTGTACCCGACGATGTTTTAAAGCATGAAATTCATCTATAATAAAATTTAGATCTAAATTAATATTAAATTCTCGTTCAATACTTAGTGTTAAACAATCGGCAAGAAAACCATCATCCATTTTGTTACGAATTTCAGTCTTCACATGTTTCATTGCTAAAAATGCTCGCTCCACTGGCACTGTTGAAACTAGTAGTGTCAGTACTAAACAAATCAATTTAATCAAAATGACGTAACTCTCCGATCTTCTACTTGCAACCAATTCCCGACATAAAAAAAAAAGTGTAGGCACTTGAAATCGAGGTTCGAAAATCACATCATGTTAATAATGTTGTAACTCGATTTTCAAACAATAAGGTTCCGTTTGATTGCAAAGGTGAAAAATGGGTAGAAAGAAAATGTTTTATTGAGAATTGAATTGTTTAGAATTTGTTTTATTAAGAATTGTAATTAATTGTATTTGATTTGTATAATTTTCCACCTGGAAAATATTGAAAGTTTGGTATCCGTTTGGTTTCGTTTTTTATGGAAATTGTCCATTAAAGTGATAATTTTTTCTACCATTGAGTTTAGAATTTGTTCCAATTCCCAAAAAGTAAAAAAAAAAAAATTAAATTAGAAAAAATTACCATACCGAATAATATTCGTTTGACTTTGTTTTGTATAGAATTTGTCAACAAAAGTGAAAATTCTTTTTACAATGGATGATAGAAGCCATTG